GGAATGTCCAGGATTGCTAATAGTTCTTTAGTTAAAAATGAGGAAACTTTAGGTAAAGGTTCCCCTCACACATGGTGTACGTGCTAGTCGTTCCCAACTCTAGGGGGCGGTGCTCATCTCCGTTTCAAAGCCGAAGAGCCAGTGCTGTCCAAAGACGTCTCCGTGGTCACGTGGCTGGCATGACTAAACGCAGAAGGCGCACGGAACGCTGTTACCTTCCCACCAAAGGCGGTTCCTATTTTTCTACTTGCATTTTTCACGTGCTTTCGAACTGCTAGAGGTTGGCAGAAGCTGGGAAAAGTAATGGGAGCTCCCTCCGTTACGCGGCGCTAGGGATTCGAACCGCACAACTGCTGGCCTTTCTGATCGACAAGCTCAGCATCTTAACCACTGAGCCACCGTGTCCCTCCAGGAAATTTTACGCAGGCCAATAAAATAGCGATCGGAGGTCGTCACTGATATATCTTTTATGCCATTCAGGATTTTGAAGACGGAATGATTTGAGACGGAGCTCAGCACTGCTGCATTATTAGTTTTGCAACTTGCTCTTTAACTTCTGCATCGTAATGATGCAACAGAGATGCCAGTTTTTGAGTATAGAGAGAATTGTCGGAAAGAGTAGAAAATATTGACTCTTCATTGTACCGATTCTGGCTAGCAGAATCCTTGATGTGTCTCATGGACTTTGTCAAGTTCGTGGCGAACACAAGAACTCTGAGCAAAATATCTTTGTTTATGCAGCTGTCAAACAGAGATAGGAGAAGAGGCGCCTGGAAAGACATGGAAAAAAATGTAAACCGTGTTCATTTTTAGTTTAAGTTTAAAGAAACAGCGTGAATTTATTGATTCACGTGAATTTACTTATTTAACAAAGAGTAATGCATTGCTTTGAATGATCCCAATGACTTAATAGCAGGTTACAGCAGTGGCCAAAATTATGGAAACCTTTGGGGAAAAGTGTATATAACACCACTTTTTTGGGAGTAGTACCATACAATTATATATTAATGGAAAGATAATTTAATCAAGAATGTAATGCAATATGTTTTATGAAAGATTTGCTATTAGAATAGCAGTTATAAAGAAGAAAAGTGAAATGAGATATACAAATAAGTTTGTTATTTATAACATTAACTATGTTATCGTATTTTTCGGAGTATAAGATGCACCTTTTTCCCTCAAAAAAGAGGCTGAAAATCTCGGTGCATTTTATACACTGAGTACAGCATTTTTTGCCTCCTGAAACCCCACCCCCTTCACCAAAATGGCTGTGCATAACCTTTAGGAGCCTTGCAGAGTGCTCCTGGGGGCTGGGGAGGGCAGAAATGAGTGGGCCATTTTTTGCTCAATTTTGCCCCCTAGGAGCACTCTATAAGCCTCCTAAAGGCTATCCATGCCTTTTTTTTCACAAAAAATGGGCCTCTTTTCACGAAAAACCGGCTGTTTTGGGGAGGTCTGCAGAGTGCAAAAAATATTTTTTTTATTTGCCTCTTCAAAATCTTGGTGAGTCTTATACTCCGGTGCATCTTATACTCCAAAAAATATGGTATCACCGTGTCAGTTAATACTTAGTTGGGTAACCTTTAGCATGAATTACGGCCTTACAACATCTTCCCATGGAGTGAACCAAGTGTTTTAGTTCTGCAGCTGTTATAATGTGAAACCGAGATTGAATTATTGCTTCTATTAACTGGGTTTTATTGCTGGGTCACTTCTGACTAACAGGTTTCTTTAGTTGGCTCTATAGATTTTCAATTGGCTTAAGGTCTGGGCTATTCCCAGACTATTCCAGCAGTGGAATATGATTATCTTGAAACTCCCACACACACAAAAAAAGTGGCTATTAGCCATCAAACCTCAAAAATACACTGTTCCCAAAAGGTTTCCATAATTTTGGCCACTAATGTATATGTTGAGTCATATCAGGGAACATAATTTCTGAAAAATCCATTGGTTTATACATTAGATAGATAGATAGATAGATATAGATAGATATAGATAGATAGATAGATGATAGATAGANACTCCCCTCCCTCATTATTGTAAGCCGCCCTGAGTCCCCTCAGGGAAAAGGGCGGCCTATAAGTGTTCAATAAAACTCTAAAAACTCTAAACTCTTGGATGGGAAGCAAAGCATCTTCAAAGAAAATCCAGAAAATCCAGTTGCGTCTTGAAAAAGCACCTTTGGGGCAATCACGACCTGGATGACTGAAAATCTCCAGAGACATTTAATTTCAAGTTCATAGCTCCTGTACCCGACACAGGACTTAATTTATGTCTAATCTGGCATTTCCTGTTTTTCTTCCCAGTACTATTTAGACCCACCTGTCAAACTGAAGGAAGCGCTTGAGAGATACGGCTTGCAAACGGAAGATTTCTTTGTTTTGAACCAGGGAGAATCCCGAGATTTAAAGATTAACGATGACGGAATTGAATAGAAGCAGGAAAATACGTCTTATTAACCATACCTAACGCGTTTAATTGTAACTACCTCTTAAAAAAAAAAAACCTTGCCTATCGACTTTGCAACATGATTTTTGATGAATGAATTAACCGTGGAGAGCATTAAGCAAGCTACAAATAACTTTAAGTAAACAAGGATTCTTCTATGAAATAAACCTTTGTACAATTGTTTTAAGTTTGCTCTGGAACAATAGCCTTCTATTGTTTTGAAGATATGACTGGCACGTAAGAAATGTTAAGAAAGCACCCGTTGCTTCCAAAAAATCTTTACTCTGCTCCATTTTGTTGGTGCTTCTTTCCTTATGGTGCTTGTGATGTCCAAAACCAGTAATTTTTAAGAATATGACGCACAGATTCCTTACAAAGCTGAAATTACTGATGATTGATGCATTTGCTCTGCATTAAAAACGTGACCAAATATCCTTGTGTGAACCTGCTCCTTTGCCAATAAATTCTTGCCCCAAAATATTATCATGTTGTCGTTCATAACTAGATTGTTTGGGAAAGTACTTAAGGTGTTGGACTAGAAACTGAGTTCTGAGTTTTTAATCCTCTGTTGGGGATGAAAAATGGTGGGGCCAATTTATCATAATCTTGGTTTTTTTCAGGCTGTCACCTGAGAGAGTGGTTACTGTTGTGGCCCAGCAGGAGCCATTGGAGCTGCCTCCGACAGCGAGGGGTCGTATGAGTCAGCTCTGGAGGATGTGGAGGACCCTGGACAGGGTTCCGACTCTGAGCAGGGCGCAGAGAGGCTGGTTGGCCACCATAAGGCGCCTGAGCCTTGGACCAGTGGGGAGGAGACAAGGGAGAGTGAGCCGGACGCCAGCAGTGAGTTGTTCCTGGATGCTCGGNAATTTGTAGAATAAAGATAAGTATATCAATAAATTAAATCTAAAATGTAAATTTCCAGTTTTTATATGGGTTAATTAAAATTCTGATTAAAAAAAGGAAAGGAATGTTATTAGTTTCTTGGCAGTCTGTAATCTATTAGCAGCATGATTCAATAAGATTATTGATTTTTGAGACTTTAGTATCAAAATTAGGATGCACTTGATACAGCCAGCTTTTTTAGATGGTCCATGAATACTTGTAGACTAACATCATCCGTTAGTATTGGAGCACCAGATTCCTGAAATAAGAAATTATAGTTTAGAAACAAAAATTGAGCCAACATAAAATGTGGGAAAATTGGAAAAGTACAGCATAATTTAAATGATGTGTAATCATGTTGACTCCTATTTTACTTTTATTTCCAAGTTCTAATACTGAATCGAATGAATGAATGAATGAATGAATGAATGAGGGAGGAAGGGAATGAGTGAGGGAGGGAGGGGAGGGAGGGAGGAATGTTCCAAGTCTAGTTTATGCAGTTTTGGCCCAAAAACCATATGATTTATTGTCTATCTTTCAAACACTGGAAGCTCAAAGGAATTTTCCAGTTAACAAAGCCGAACCCCTGTAAATGGTCAAAATCAATTGACAAACTCCTGCTCCTTACATAATGCATGTCATAAATTGTGAGTGCATGCACAACAGACATAGAACCAAACACATAATTACTTACTTGTCCCCATGCGTATAGATTATTATGAGTCTGAGAAGGATTCACTTTAGATAGGAGAAACCGTGCCTGTCAAAGCCAAAAAACCAATATAATTAACATTTATCACATAAAATTGCCATTACTTGCATGTTTCCTTTTAATATAGCTCAGAATAAATTAAGTAGGATTGTTTGGAAAGGAAAGAAAGTAGAAGAAAGAAAACAGGAAGCAAATTCATATTTAGCAATACTGAGTGCTTAAAGAACAGTTTCTGTTATAATCAGACAGAAGCCATTATCAGTACCGTACTTTTTGGAGTGTAAGACTCACTTTATTCCCCTCTAAAAGAGGGTGAAAATGTCAGTGCGTCTTATACACTGAATACGGCCATTTCTAGCTTTCCGAAACCACGCATCCCATTTTCACCAAAAATAGGCCCGTTTTTTTTTTTTTTTGCAAAAATGGGGCACACAGAGAGGTTGGGAGGCCTGCAGAGGGCTCATGGGGGCTGGGGAGGGCAAAAATG